CCTTGCATGTGATGTATGCTGATGACTCTAGTGTGCTTCCCTCTTATTACCCCGTGTTGCCTAGTGTAGCGGTGCCTAGCGTAGACTCCCCTGCTGCGTCAGGCGTAGGATCTCCTGCTTTGCTTAGCCTTGGTGCTTCCACCGCTTCACTGCTGCCTCGCGCGACTGCTGCGCTTTCCTTCACCTTGGACTCTGGCGCCTCCCGGTGTTTCTTCCGCGACTCCACGACGCTGACGCCGCTGCCTGTTCCCGCTGCAGTTACTCTTGCTGACCCCTCCGGTGGTCCCGTCGTTGCCCGCAGTTCCACCTCCCTTCCCTGTCCGGCGGTTCCTTCGGGCACTCTCACAGGTCTGCATATCCCCTCCAGGAACCTAGTTGGTGTCGGCTGCCTCCAGGACCTTGGCGTCACCACTACGTTCCCTGGTCACGAGCGGTATGCTGTCTGTACCGAGGCCGCCACTGGTGCCCCCCTTACCACTTTCCCCCGGGACCCGGTGTCCGGCCTGTTCACACTTGACACCGCGCCGTCCCCGGCTGGGTCTTCCCCCCCGGTAGCTGCGTCCACCCAGGTTGCAGCCGCGTGCTCCTGTCGGTCCCTCACTCACCCGACTCTCCTTTCGCACCACCGCCTTGGTCACCCTGCACTCCCACGTCTGCGTCACATGTCCCAGCACGGTCTCGTCCTTGGTCTCCCCGGTTCGTTCCCCGAGTTTCCCTCCTCCCCCGCCCCACCGTGCACGCCTTGTGTCGAGGGCCGGCTCTGCCGTGCCCCTCACTCCTCCTCTTTTCCCCCTACCACCGCACCACTGCAGACTCTGCACATGGACGTCTGGGGCCCAGCCCCGGTCCATGGGCCGCGTCGCGAGCGCTTCTTCCTAGTGCTTGTCGACGACTTCACGCGCTACACCACCGTCTTCCCCCTGGAGCGGAAGGCCGACGTGCCTGACGTTCTCATCCCCTGGCTTGTCTCTGCTCGTGTCCACCGCGGTCTCCCTGCCTTGCGCCTTCACTCCGACCGGGGTGGCGAGTTTGCCTCAGGTGTCCTTGGTCGCTTCTGTCGTGCGGAGGGCATCACCCAGACGTTTACCCTGCCGGACTCCCCACAACAGAATGGGGTCGCTGAGCGACGCATCGGTTTGGTCATGGAGGTGGCTCGCACCTCCATGATCCACGCCGGTGCACCCCATTTTCTGTGGCCGTTCGCCGTGCGCTACGCCGCTCACCAGCTTAACCTGTGGCCGCACCCCCAGCGGCCGCAGGTTTCGCCGACCCTTCTGTGGACCGGGTCCCCTGGTGACGCGTCTGCGTTCCGCGTCTGGGGCTGCCTTGCTCACGTTCGTGCCTCTGGCACGGACAAGCTCACTGCCCGCACCCTCCCCTGCGTCTTCCTCGGTTTCCCCCTTGACGCGTCCGACTGGCACTTCTACCACCCGCCGTCTCACCGCTTCTTTCACTCTCGCGACGTCACCTTTGACGAGTCCGTCTCCTTCTACCGCCGCTTTCCCCACCGTGGTCCCCCGGTTACTCCCCCCCCTTTCCTGGTTCCTCCCTCCCTGGTGGTCCCTGCCCCTCCCCCCCCCCGCCCCCCCGTCCGGCCCCCTCTGGTGTGTCTCACGTCACCCCCCTCCCGTCGGTCATCCCGGTCGACGAGTCTTCTGACTCTGGTAGTCCTCCGGCGCAGTCCTCGCCGTCTGTCCCTCCCCCGGTGTCTCCTCCTCCACCGCCTCCGCAGCCGCCGTCGCCGCAGCTGCTGCAGCCGTCGTCTCCACCGCCGCCGCCGTTGCAGCCGTCGTCTCCGCCGCCGCCGCCGTCGCAGCCGTCGCTGCAGCCGCCGCCGCCGCCGCCGCCGTCGTCGCTGCCGCCGTTTGTGGACTCTGGGGGTGTCCCTTCTGGGGGTGCAGGTGTGGAGGGTTCGGGAGGTAGCCGTCGCGCAGCTTGTGGCCCTGGTGTTGGTGTTGTGTCGCCGCAGCAGCAGTCCCCGCCTGTGTCCGCCCTCCGTCTGCTCGGCCTTCCGTCTCCTGACCCTGCGCCTGTTCCTCTCCTGCCGTCTCCCCCTCTTCCCGTCTACGGCCCCGTGTTCCCTCTGCAAGACTCGTCCCCGGCTCGTCTTCCCCCTCGTTCCCCTCCTGTGTCCCCTCCTCTGTCTCCTGACCTGACGCCGCCCTCACACGTCTGGTCTCGCCGCCCCTCTCGTGCTCGTCCTGTCTCACCTGTCCCGCGCTCTCACCCTATGTTGCTCCGTTCCCACGCGTCTCGACCTCCCCTCCTCCCGTCTCCTCCTCCGTCTTCTCTTGTCGTTGCGTCTCCTCCTCTGTCCGACTTCTTTCGTGCCGCTCGTCCTCTTGTTCCTCGGGTCCTTGCCTCTCTCGTTACCGACCCGTCTGTTCCCGTGTCGAGTCTTGACGCCCTCGTCGCTGCGGTCGCTGACTTCGCCTCTACCCGCCGCCTTGACTACGCCACCGCTCTGGTCTCTGACCCTGCCTGTCCTCCGTCTGTTGGGGGTGCTCCTGCCCTCGGCAGTGACGTCCTGGAGGACCGCCAGTTTGAGCTTGCTTTCCTGTCCGAGGCTGCTCCCCATCTCTGTTCCATGCTGCTAGTCCCTGAGGGTGACCCAGACGCTTTCGACATCCCGACCCCTCGTACTTACGCTGAGGCGGTTTCGGGACCCTGGGCCTCTCAGTGGATAGCTGCCATGGAGCAGGAGATGGCATCTTGGAGATCCACCGGCACCTTCGTCGACGCAGTTCCCCCACCTGGGGTGAACGTGGTCGATGGCCGTTGGCTCTTCAAGGTGAAGCGCCCTCCTGGAGAGCCGCCTGTGTTCAAGGCGCGCTACGTGGCTAGAGGCTTCAGTCAGCGCGAGGGGGTGGACTTCTTTCAGACTTTCGCTCCTACCCCGAAGATGACTACTCTTCGGGTGCTGCAACACGTAGCGGCTCAGTGTGACTACGAGCTTCACTCCCTCGACTTCTCCACTGCCTTTCTTCAGGGCAGCCTTCACGAGCAGGTCTACCTGCGTCGCCCTCAGGGCTTTACTGGCACCTTCCCCCCTGGGACCCAGTGGCTTCTGCGGCGGCCAGTCTACGGCCTGCGCCAGGCGCCTCGTGAGTGGCACGACACTTTGCGTGCTACCCTTGCTGACCTGCAGTTCTTTCCGTCCTCTGCAGACCCCTCGCTCTTCGTTCGTGCTGGCTCGACTCCGTTCTACATCCTCGTCTACGTAGACGACCTGGTCTTTGCCACTGCTGACAGGGACGCACTGGCCTCCGTGAAGGCAGAGCTGCTGAAGAGACACACCTGCACTGACCTTGGAGAGCTGCGCCGTTACCTTGGCTTGCAGATCTCCAGGGACAGAGCCGCGCGCACCATCACCCTGACTCAGTCACACTTGGTGCGCCAGGTCCTTCAGAGGTTCGGCCTTCAGTTCTCCTCCGCACAGCCCACCCCTCTTCCTCTGGACCACAGACTCTCCGCTCCAGTTCCTGAGGAGTCGGTAGATCCCAGTGGTCCTTACGCTGAGCTAGTGGGTTGCCTCATGTACTTGATGACTTGCACTCGCCCAGATCTCGCATACCCTCTCAGCATCCTGGCTCGTTTCGTGGCCACAGGCAGGCACCGACCTCAGCACTGGTCTGCCGCTAAGAGGGTTTTGCGTTATCTTGCAAGTACATCGGGCATGGGGTTAGTGCTAGGCGGACGCAGGCCAGTGGTCCTTACTGGACACACAGACGCTTCTTGGGCAGACGACGCCGAGACGCTCAGGTCTTCCCAGGGCTACTGCTTTAGCCTTGGTTCAGGTGTTGTCTCGTGGAGAGGTACCCGCTCTTCGTCTGTTGCCCAGTCCAGCTGTGAGGCCGAGATCTACGCCGGTGCCATGGCGGCACAGGAGCTCCGCTGGCTGACCTTCTTGCTCACTGACTTAGGTGAGCGGCCTAGCTCTGCCCCGGTCCTGTACGCTGACAACAGGGCCATGATCCTCCTGTGTCAGGAGCCTCGACTCGAGGGCAGAGCGAAGCACATCCAGCTGCGGTACTTCCTCCTGCGTGAGCTACAGCAGCGTCGCCAGGCTCGCGTAGTACACTTAGCCTCCGGTGCCAACACAGCTGATATCTTTACGAAGGCGCTTGCGCCTAAAGATCATCAGCGGCACTGTGTACAGCTTGGTCTGGTTCCTGTAGTCTCTCACTTACTCGGGCCTTGACTCTGTACTGTCCTATATATCTGTGTGTACACTCAGACTGGACTTGTGTCCTCTTACAGTGGTTGGACTAGTAGTGCCGCCCTGTACTAGTTCTTGCCTTGCCTGTACTCCTTCTGACTGGTCGTTTAGACCCTTGTCTCAGAGGCTGGACTAGTAGTGCCACCCTGAGCTGCTTGTCTAGAACATTCCCCTATGCAGTCCAGGGGGTGTGTCAAACATGTTTAGTTATCATGCTTGTATAGACTGTATAGGGTCATCTTCTAGAGAGTACAACAGTTAGGTATATGTTTGTGTACTCTCTCTCTATTCATTAATTTCACTGTTTGATACTTACAACCTGTCAATCCGATATCGAAACACAACACCTGCCCAATCACTTCGCAGCAATTTAAGGGGTCTGAGTACATGTGGTGTACTGTTCGTTTACATATATTTTTGTATATCTATTATGCCATTGCACTAAGCACTCATCGTTTGAATTAAGAAATCCCATTTCGAGTTTCTTTAGACCCCCGTTGAGGGAGGGGTGCGCCTTCCTCGGAGATAGTGCAATACCGAGGCGACGCGCACAGGGCCGACCAGCAAGCTGGCCATAGGCACCTGCCCCCGAAAAAAATTAATTTAATATCATGTGGTCCGATGGACCACGTATCAGATATTAAACTGATAAGAACAGATACTACACTTGATCTTAGCCAAAAGGCCGAGAAAGGTATGGTACTAACGAGACAAATTTCGGGGTTTACCTTTGGCCGTAGAGGGCTTGTTTCGTGTTCCGTGGGGCTCAGTTCCTTTGGCTTTCCTTCTGGCGAAGTCTGAGGTGCCACGTGTAACGGCTGGACTCCAGCTCGACCTGCTAGTCCCTAGTCGTTGACACACCATGGACTCCATCTGAATTCCTACCTCTCCCATCCATCACGCGTCACAGCCTTGTGTGTCCGAGGAGCAGTACCGCATCACTCGCTTTCGTCGTCGCTCGAGGACTTACTTTCGCAGGTTCCGCAACGCGTCACCGTCGATTTGTCTATCCACCTTCACAATCCAGCATCCCCACGATTCCACATGCTCGCTGAAATGGCCCACCCGCCACTCGTCCCGCCTCCCGAACCCACCACTCGAGTCCTCCCGCTCGCTCCGCGCCTCCCAGCTTTTGCGCGCCGTCTCGCGCCGGGCGCCCGACGCTCGCTGCGGATGGCGGAGCAGACGCGGGTGGGTAGGGGGACTTGGGGGCAAGCCGCGGAAAGAAGACCGCGTGTGTCCCATGATGGGCTCGCCCCAGCGTCGGCAATGCTGCGCTCTGCGCTCTGCTCGCTGGGGTCTGCGGTGTGCGTTCTTCCCTGCGAGGCAGATTTAGCAGTGGGAGAGGCGTTGAAGGCGGCGGAACGGCGAGAGTGCGGATGGCGTTGCGGCGAGCGGGGAGGAAGCGGTGCTGAGAGGCGGACGAGCAGAGGGAACGAGGCTGAGCGGCGGAGGTTGAAAAGCGACGTTATGAGGTGCGACGTCATGAGGTGCGGCCTCGTATTTCTGGGCGTCGGAACCCGAAGACTCTGCTGTCAGCACTGGAAGATTGCGGACGTGGTAGCTGGTGTGGCGAACGACCGGGGAGGGATCTGACGAGGGGCCCAGGGCTCGGTCAGACGTGCGAGGGATGGGTGAGGTCTCGCATGTGGGGGCCTCTGCAACTGAGGCTGCCAGGCTGCAAGGCGGCGAAGCAGGGCGGCGAGGTGGCGGCAAAGCGAGCATGCAAGATGCGAGAAAGGAGGGTCTGAGCGAGGTCCCGTGCTATGTGCGTGGCGTGTGCACGGCACAAGGGGTGTGTGAGGGGTGTGTGAGGCACAAGGGGTGTGTGCGGCACAAGGGGTGTCTGAGGCACAAGGGGTGGGTGAGGCACAAGGGGTGGGTGAGGCACAAGGGGTGGGTGAGGCACAGGGGAAGCCTCTCCCCTTACCTGTTGCCCTTCCCACCTCTCCTTACCTGTTGCCCTTCCCACCTCTCCTTACCTGTTGCCCTTCCCACCTCTCCTTACCTGTTGCCCTTCCCACCTCTCCTTACCTGTTGCCCTTCCCACCTCTCCTTACCTGTTGCCCTTCCCACCTCTCCTTACCTGTTGCCCTTCCCACCTCTCCTTACCTGTTGCCCTTCCCACCTCTCCTTACCTGTTGCCCTTCCCACCTCTCCTTACCTGTTGCCCTTCCCACCTCTCCTTACCTGTTGCCCTTCCCACCTCTCCTTACCTGTTGCCCTTCCCACCTCTCCTTACCTGTTCCCCTTACATGCTGATTGTCAGGGGAGGGATGGGAAGGGGCAGCAGGAGGTGAAGGATTGGCATGTGGCGTTGCATGAGCGTAAGATTTCCTTCCACATAGCCTCATCCTCATTTCCTACCTTTCATTCCTCTGCTCATCTCCACATTTGCCATGTGCTCACACAGGTGCACCTTTGTCCCAAACGTGCCCCTCTACTCTCTGATGATCTCCCTTCCCTTTCATCCCTTCGGTCTCACCCCTTCCCTTTCACCCCTTCCCTCTCATCCCTTCGGCCTCACCTCTAACCTCTTGCCTGTCTCGCATGCCTCACCCATCCCACAAGCACCTCGTCCTGCCTCTCGCACCTCACTTGCATTGCAGGATCTGACAGCAGTGCTGACAGACAGCAGAGCTCACAGACTTTGGGCTGGCTAGGGTTGGCAGGCACGGACTAGGGGGCACATGTGGATTGATCGTACCTTTGCCGTTATGCATGCACGCCTCTCCTGTGCCTCGCAGGATCGGACGGCAGTGCTGGCGGACTTTGCATTGGCTAAAGCAGTGACTGACTGGCCGACACATGCGGAGTGGTCATACCGCTGCTATTACACATCCACGCCTCGCCTGCGCCTTTCAGGATCTCACAGCAGTGCTGGCGCGCTTTGGGCTGGCCAGAGCCGTGACGGACTGGGTAACACATGTGAGCACGAGAGTGATGGGCAGCATGGGGTACATCGACCCCATCTGCTTCCCATCCCATGACACACCTCCTGGGGGTGGGTCTGGTCTGTATGGCCTACACTGCATGCATCCTCCTTATAAGTCACACTGGGTGATGGTAATGGCAACATGGGGTATATCATCCCCATCTACTTCCAACCAGGTCATTCATGAACTCCTTATGGCATGATTGATACTCCCTATGGAGTGGTCATCCATCCTCGTACAACAAGTTTACGTCCATCCACTTCAGTGTTTACATGCGTTTGCTTATAGTGTGCACCCTACCTTCCATTCTTTGTTCACTCCCTCATCCCATTCCCCCAGGCCAACTGAGCCGCAAGACCGACACCGGACTCGATTTAGGCAGTTCCTGATATCTGTTCCGTAGGAATACGCCCTAAGAAACTCAACAAGTGGCACACAATGTGAGGGGGAGAGAAGCAGCATGTCAGAGTCGTACAAGGAAAAATAACACCACATGGCAATCAAGGTTGAAGTGTTGGATTCAAAGTTGTAGTACCCTGGGATCACCACACGCTCATCATGCAACACATCACACTCTGGAAAATCTGTTGCTATATCCCTCTGGTCCTCGTCCTTCCCACTCCCACCATCATCTCCTTCAGCCTCACCTTCGCCCTCTCATTCTTCACTTCGATTGAACCTATCCTCGCCAGTATCCCTCTCACCATCTGTACCACCGTCTGTACCACCATCTGTGCCACCATCTCCCCCCCCATCTTTCCCACTCTTTTGACTGGTCCTGCCTGGGCATGCGAGCTTGTGGGAAGGCCAGTGTGCTTTTTGGCAGTCTCTGCTGCAATACGCCACCTTGCCACACCCAGCGCAGCTCTTCAGCTTCACACCACCACCCACCACCCTCCCACACCCCTCAGCACCGCACACAAACCCTTCCATATCTGGAGAATCAACAGCAGGGATGCTCACCGCAGCAGATGTGGTTGGTGCACCAGCAGTGCTTGGTGCAGCAGAAGTGCTTGCAGCAACAGGGGTGGCTGGCTGCAGTGCTCGCTGTGGCACATGTGTTTACTGCTTCAGCAGCGCCAGGTGCAGCAGGGGTGGTTGCTGGAGCAGGGGTGGAAGAGGCAGCACAGGAGGGAGGGCGGTAGCGTGGCTGCCCCAGCAGCATCTCTCGAAGACAAGCCACCAGATTCACTCCCCCCAGCCATGGCTTAAAAAAAGGTGGCACTTTTGCCTTTCCCCCACTGCTGCTGTTGCCATTGCTACCACCACCACCACACTTGCTGCTGCTGCCGCTGCTGCTGCCACTGGTGGTAGCACTGCTGCTGCTGGCGGGCCCACGCTGCCCCTGCAATCCCCCTTGCAGCCCTTCACAGAACCTGGGGATTGCAGCGGCATCAAGAATCCATCTGATGCCCAGATCCTCAGCCGTTCCCCCCCGCTTCCTGCTGCCTCTGCAAACCTCACTCACCTCCTCTGCCCCAAAGTTGGACCTCCACACAGCCACTGCGGCGGAGCACCACATACGCACCTCCTCCAACACCTCCCCACCACTCCCCTGATCCACCCCACCATCCCAATACCCTTCACTATTCACCCTGTCACCTATTCTCCCTTTCCCATCGCTACGCCCTGTCTCATCAAACCCCAAAATTGGACGAGCCCACCAGACTGCAGCGTGAATGAGGAAGAAGAGGGACAGCTGCTCGGCTCGCATGAGCAGCATATGCAGATTCACAGGCCGGGGCAAGGGTGCGTGGAACTCCAGGCAGCCAACGAGCTTGTGGAAATGAGGGGAGGACGGCGGGAAGACAGACACGACACGGTTGAAAAGGAAGCTGACAGGACGGTAGGCAAAGTTGGCGACGAGTGAAACCATGTCGGCATATTGCACATAGCAGTGGAAACACCTCTTGCACCGGGTGCATGCCGGCGGCTCCAAAACAAACCCAGCAAACCCCACCAAAAGTCCACGTCTGCCTTGCAGCGAACGATGGGGAATTTCCTTCAGGCGGGTGGAAATGCACGCACGGGTGCCTCTTCTCTACTTGGTTCGTCTCTCCCACTCCCTACGACCCTCCCATATCCCGCAACAACTCCCTTGTCAACTTTCTTACTCGCCCTCGCCCTCCTAGAGACTCCCCCTGCACGCCATGCCGGCTCAGATGGTGCCTTCTCTGCCAGCTCGGATGGTGCCTGCTCAGATGGTGCCCGCCCCCGTGCCTCTGCTGCCCCACGCTCCTCCACAATCCCCAGGCCAAAGCATCTCAGTCTCTGGTTGAAGGGAAACCTCACAGCAGCATCATCCCCCTGCGACCATTCCTCCCACTCCACAGGAAAGCTGCCCAGGCCCAGAGGCTTGGGGATGGCGCCGAGCCTGATCAACAGGCTCGGAAGATCCCGGAACGGGTGGCACATGGGTAGGACCGTGCTCTGTGGGCCGTCCTTGAAACAGTGTTTTCCCGAAATGGAATCTGACCCATAGACTCGAACCCCCTGCAGAATACAACTGGCCTGATAGGTGAAGGCAGCAACCACAGGATTGCTGTTGACAGGCACAATCCCAGGGTAGGTAGCCATTCCTCCACCCACTCCACCTCCTGCTCCTCCACCTCCTGCTCCTGTTTCTGCTCCTCCTCCGTCTCCCCTTCCATCCTTCTCCCTTGTCTGTTTCAGCCTATATAGAATCTTCCTGGCCACCCTAATCGCTGCATCCTCAACCTGCATCTTGCTCGCGTTGTCCCCATCATGGATAAACGTCTGGGCGTCAATCCAATGCTCTGGCTTAGAAAGCACTGTAGCAACAGCGAGCACGAATTCGGTTGCACCCACACCACTCACATGCATACCCTTGGAAGCACTGATGAGGCTGCTGCTTCCGTCATAACCCCAAATGTTGCTGCAGCTGCTGTCGCTGCTACTGCTGCTGCTGCTGCTGCCCTCACTGCCGTGGCTGCACCTGAACTCCCTCCCTTCCCCCTCCATGCTCCAGAATCCAAGCCATGCCATCCACATACCTCTCCCACACAGGCCCCTTCAAATGCTCTCTCCACTTCCCACCCTTCCCTTCCTTCCCATCCTTTCCATCCTTCCCATCTCCTTTGCTGCTGCTAGCAAACCCAGTGCCCCCCTCACTCCCCATCTGGCCTGCATCCCCTTCTCCCACACCCTCCAATCTCCCCTTCCCCTCCACATGGGCCTTCTCAATTCCGCCTGACAGCAGTTCTTGCAGACAGAACCCAAACCCCTGCTTCATTGCAGCAGTCTCCTTCACTCCGAGAATCTGCACCAGCATGGAGGCGAAATTGACAATCCCCGCCTGCCTGACCGCCCCCAGCTCAGCCACAATCGCAGGCCAGGCAGACGAATACGCGTTCAAGTGTGCTTTCCACAGAGTCACAAGGCGGGGGGATGATGCTGCAAGTGCAAGGAAGGTCGAGAAGCTGACAGCGCGGCGGTAGGCAGCCCAGCAGCTGCTGCAGCGCCAGCAGCAGGACCACGCTGCAGTAGCAAGAGAGGAAGATGTAGCAGGAGCAGGGGCCGAAGAGGCATGTGCAGCAGCATTTGTGGTAGCAAAAATGGCTGGTAGGCGGGACATGACCTTCCCCAAGTCCATGAGCACGCCCACACAGGGCTCAGCCATCCACTCAAGAAACATCGCTTCCGCACTAAGGCGAGGCGCCCTCTCAGCCTTCCAAGCAAACAGCTCATGAGGCGACATTCCATGCCTCCCTTGGAACGCCCGCACCGGTATCCCTTTAGAGTACTCAAAAAGGGCCTGGTTCTCCTGCTCTGAGGCAGCAGCTGCTCGGAAGGAATCAGGCTGCGCCTTGCGCAGGTGGCAACGTAAGTCCTCCAGGTTTTTCATCTCAAGCACGCCCCGTGCTTGGCAGCCCAGTGCGCTGTCGAAGCAGCACTCGCACAGATCCCGATCCCAGCCCCTTGTCACGTCCAGATAATGCACCATCTCCTCCCGAGAGAGCAGCTGAAGCGCCTTCGAGCTTTCCCCAGCTGCCGGTTTCTTCGGTCCATCTCCCGATGGTTTTTCTGATCCACACACCTCTTTCTCAAGTGTCCACTTCAGCTTCTCAAGATTCTTCAACTGATCTTCAATCACCGCAATGGACTGCTCACTCTCCAACAGGAACCGAAGCACCTCAGAAGTGACCTCGGCTTCCTGTTTCTCAGTTGCCCCTCCATTTGGCCCAGTGGACTGCCCTGGTCCACCCAGCTCCGGATGCAGGTCCCGCATTACCTTTCGGTGACCCACCAACTGTTCTTCCAACTCCTAAATGGCCTGTAACAAGATTATCTTCCTCTTTCAAGCTGCTGACAGCCGCAGATGCCTGGCCCTTCTGCACTGCTCCGAAGCTTCCTGTCGGGACTCCCTGCTTCTGCCCTGCTCCATCACTCCCTGTAGGGACTCCCTGCTTCTTCTCTGCTCTATCACTCCCTGTCTGGGCTCCTTTATTCTGCTTGTACCCCTCTCCGTTATTGCGGATGGGTTCGATAAGGACCAACTTGCTGGTAAGCGCAGCAAGCGTTGCAGCGGGAGTAGAGGGAGGACGAGGAGCAGAAGAACGAGGCGCAACTGAAGAAGATGCAGCAGTAGGAGCAGATGCAGCAGGAGGAGCAGATGCAGCAAGAGGAGCAGATGCAGCAGTAGGAGCAGATGCAGCAGTGGAAGCAGATGCAGGAGTGGGAGCAGATGCAGCAGTAGGAGCATCTCCGCACTCTTCAACTTTCTCCATGCACGTCGTTCAAGGGAACCACTTTAATGGTTCTACCCGATACAAGCATGGATTTCTCGACGGTGAGGTTAGGAGAAAGGCATCCTTGCTGCCCAAGAGCCATGAAACGAACTTGCTGTTTGAGATTTGCAACGTCTTGCCCCGCCGCTTTCGAGCCATCCTGTCCTTTCTGCTGGTGACGTGCCTCGCATGGCAGGCAGCAGTCCGGCAGATGCGACTGAAACAGTCTGTTGAATCTAGGCGACTATCGCCTTCGGCGCAGCGAAAATTATTTTGAAATACTCGTGCAAATAGCCTCAAGGGCCTTGCCTCCAAAAGTGATCTCAAAGTAGCTGCTAATCGTCAATACAAAATGACAGCAATTTCCACTAGAAACAATGAGATACAAAGCACAAATGTTCAAACAGATTTATAGTGGAAGTACAAGCAATTTCGCGCTTCGTAACTGCCGTGTGCACTGCGAGTAACTCGCGCACCTCGTGTCAAGCCGAGTCGCACATGCAATACCCGCTTTCTAGTTCCTTCTCGTCCCCAAGTCCGCATTTCTCTCCTCGTCACCCCAAGTCACGGGTAGTCCGTTGTGGGTGGCGGAACCATTCCAACATTGAAGACAGATCGGAGTGGTTCGTCAGGGGCAACAGTAAGAGAGACATCCACGTGTGATCCAGACGGCTTGACTATGAAGCGGTTGTCAGTGAAGCAGTCGGCGCCATACTTGATGGATTCTGTGGTCTCGCCACGTGTATGGTTGCAAGATTCACGATTGGGCAGATCAGGTGGAATTCTAAACATAACCTCGAAAGCCA